CAGTCCTGGAGTACATGCTCTGCTGTCTGGGGCACCTCTCCACAGGTGCACATGGCTGATACGCCTACCCGAGCATTAAAATTACCAAGTATATAGATGCCGTCAGATTTAGGAATTGCTTTCACTGCATTATCCAATTCCTCATAAACAGAATTCTTTGCGTCCTCTGTTGGCGTTAGAGTCAAATATGCATTAACAAGAGTGATAAACCCACCTGAGGTAGACAATCGTAGAGATAATATTCTGTCAGTAATGAAATTATAGTAATAATAATTCCCACTAATTTGACATTTAAACATATTTTCACGTACGTTTTCTACCTCACAATGCATAGAGAAAAATAATGTACTGTGTCATTTCTCTATTTTTTCCTGCCAAACTTCTAATAGAGTGGTAACGCAGTGACCCACAACAGCAAAACTGTGAAATCCTCTATCAGCTTCAACTGGACAGCTCCGTCTGTAGCAGTGGGTAGTGTGGAGTTTCAGTGAGTAACATTTACATCTGATAATGGAATATTGAAATAATTTGAAATCGTGCTGGGTTATGGAATGTTACAGTGAGTTGAATTTAATCTTTTATAAAAGGAATATTATAATGAGTAGGATTTTTCTTTTTTCAAGTAATGGATGTAAAACAGGGGAGGGGGGTGGAGAGATAGGTGAATGTTAATTTAAGAAGAGTTATAATTTTGTTTTTAAATGAAACATTGCAATTAGTAAATTAGTAGAGTGAATTTACTTAGGTAAATAAAACCCAAATGAAAACCCACACTGCATATGATTTCTAAGATTCTTTTCTGGAATATTTACATCAGTTGGTGAAAAGATAATGTATCTCAAGTTGTACGGATGTTTACGTCTAAAAATTCAGTTTTACAATATTGCATTCCTCCTGGTAGTGGGAGCTGACTTATATACCATACTAGTGATAACCAGTGAGTTTCTAATGAAGAGAGCTGGCGGACAATGATTAGCTGATATATGGGATGGGGGGGGGGGGTAAGTTCTAATGATAATGATGAAACATAACGAATTAACATTTGTAGTATAACGGCTTAACTTGCCAGAAATATACAGTTGAAGATTACAGAAATACAGTGAAACCTTAGGATATCAATGTACCTGGTAAGTAGTGTTTCAGGATACTAGGTTAGGCACATCATTCCCTGCTCTTTATCCCCCCTCCCCCCCCCCCCCTTCCCCACCCGGGGGTGAAATCCAGAATGAGAGCTGGAAAGACAAGAACTCTTGGAAAGCCTTGCTTTTCTGTCCGCCTGTTGAAGTTTCACTTCTAGATCACTAGCTAGCTGCCAACCAAATAAAATCACTAATAAATACATGGGGACATTGCTACGCAAATCAATTAAATACAGATGTGCAAGAAGATTGTGACAATTATACTAATTAACGGCACAACAATGAAACTCTTGTAAGTTGTATTTGGCTGCATATTTATGACTATAAAACGTATGATAAGTGTTGGTAATTTTATATTATAATGGTTTAATTATATATATATATATATATATATATATATATATATATATATATATATATATATATATATATATATATATATTCACACACTCATATACTCGCAGTTACACAGTAGTCAGAGGTGGGGCTCCTAAAGCCACTGGAACCTTGTCAGATTATTTCAAAGACCTCAAGTCAGTCCCTTTACCAGGACCATTTTCGGTGAGCAACAATAATTTTCTTATATAAATATATATATAATGTTAAAGGTTTAAGTCGAGAGGATCGACTACAGTACACCAGGTTTTATCCCGTATGGATCGGATCTCTAAGCAGAACGGCTAGCCGCCTACTTAGAGCGTTTTCACAGTGCACGAACTCCGTAGCTGTTGTGACGATCCCCAGTGGTCTCCGTAAAAATTGCACTCATGAACTGAACTACGCAGCCGTGAATCTAACACACGACCTTCATAGCCTGTGGCAAACGGCGCGACCATTTCGCCACTGAGGACCCCCTCCGCCCCCCCCCCTTTTTTTTACTCTCTCTCTCTCTCTCTCTCTCTCTCTATATATATATATATATATATATATATATGTCTATATATATATATATATATATATATATATATATATATATATATATATATGTCTATATATATATGTATATATATATATATATATATATATATATATATATATATATATATATATATATATATATATATATATATATATATATATATATATATATAATCAGTCTTTTAAGAAGAAAATCGAAGCTTGAATATCATGGACCAAGAAGAAGAAAAACATTATCATGCATTACCTGAATATCAAGTAGAACTGGCTCGTAAACAGCATTCTTTCCCGAAAGCTGAGGCATTTTTGACGTGTCAAGCCCTATGGTGGTCTGGATGGAATGGTGATGGAGGATGCAGTTTCCTCTGCGAAGTGGACACAGGACACTGAAGATGCATTGTCTATGATAGCACACAGGGCCGGAGAACTGACTAGAGAAAGAAAGACTTTCCGGTATGCCGTATAGAAAATGAAGTTCTGTAGACATACTGTTCTCTACATTCTGCGCATAATTTTACAAATTGTAATTAATTCTACTTTTTTATTTAATCAGTGCACATAACGTGAGACTAGTTGGAAACAATGCAACCATTCTAGCGATGTAACTAGTAATATAGTTAGTGATCAGCGAGGACTACCACCCCTTCACTTCCGACAGAGCTGAAGGTATTCCGATTTCTCTCCTCAGTAATTCCTTAATCATAAACAACAGATCACGCCCATTCTGTGTTGATTAAAAAAACATCTTGTGTCCTTGGCATTGTCCTGTGGCGGCATTATAGCCCTGATATTCACCAACCTCGACAGAAATACAGAGTCATGCTTCTCGCGGTGTAGGTTCCAAGGCCCCATTATAATGTTTAGAAAAGTACAGATCAACTGCCCCTGACCAGATACGTCGTGAAATCACTGAAATCAGAGGCTGGACCGAAGTACGCAGATATCGAAGCTGGTTTAAACCAGTTTTACGGTGGCAAGGAACAAGATCCCCACGGTTCTGGAGGAACCGGTGAAGAGTCTCGGTCGCGTTTACGATTCGAAGTTATCTGATAGAGCGGAGGTCCGGCGAATACACGAGTCACTGGCTACAGGTCTGCTCGCGATCGAGCGATGCAGACTGGTCGGGAAATTCAAGGTATGGTGTCTCCAATTTATGTTGATTCCGAAACTCCTATGGCCACTGTCAGTCTACGAGGTGACGATGACTGCAGTGGAAGCCATGGAGAAAAAAATCAACACAGCCTTAAGAAAGTGGATTGGTGCACCGCCTTGTCTGACCGACGTGGCTCTGTATTGCAAACAGGCTAAGCTGGTACTTCCGTTCAAATCGATAACCGAAGAGTTTAAAGTCGGCAAGGTAAGACTCGCCATGCTTTTGCGCGAGTCTTCAGACCCAAATGTCACCGCTGTCCAGCCCGCTCTAAAGACTGGAACCAAGTGGAGAGTCCTCGATGCGATAGAATCTGCCCAGAATGCACTAAAATTGAGAGAGATAATGGGTTACACACAAACCGACCGTCGAGGCCTAGGGCACGGGAAAGTCAATTGGTGGTCAAAGGCCTCAGCCAAAGAGCGCCGAGACATGGTGATACAAACGGTGAGGGACACGAAAACGAGGTTCGGGTCCAGAAAGCAGCCCAGCAGTCGCAGCAGGGCCATTGGGTCAGCCTGGAGAGCGCATTGCCAAGAATACTCACATGGGGTGAGATCTGGCGGATGACCCCGCTGCGACTGAGCTTTATCGTTCGTTCGGGCGTACGATGTATTACCGTCCGGTGTTTAACATGGTTAAATGGTCTGCGACCAACGATCCGACTTGCCCGTTGTGCAAATCGAAGCAAACTCTTGAGCACGTCCTGTCCGCGTGCAGGAAAGCCCTAGGTCAAGGCCGATATACCTGGCGCCACAACAAGGTGCTAAAGGAGTTAGCAGCCGTTGTCGACCAGGCTAGAATGAGGGCTAATGCCAGAGCCAGTTCTAGTATCGCCCCCATTCGTTTCCCCAAGGCTGGGCAGGTTCCAATTGGTAAGGTCAACAAAAACGCATTCGCTCCATCTGTGCTAGACTCTGCGAGGGACTGGTTACTGGCGGTTGATCTGCCAGGCCATGAACGGTATCCCGAGTTAATCCGTAAAACCGGCCTGCGACCGGACATCGTTCTCCATTCTGCGCAAAAACGGCAGCTCATCCTGATTGAGTTGACGGTCCCGTTTGAGTCGCGTATGGAGGAGAATCATTTGTACAAGCTCGAGAAGTACAATGATTTAGCAGCCGGTTTGAGGAGAAACGAGGCTTACACGGTACGGGTATTTGCCGTCGAAGTGGGAGCGAGAGGCCTCGTTTCCACTTCGCTCTACAATGTGGTGAAAGAACTAGGATTGCGCGGTAATGAACGGAAACGAACACTCAAAAAACTGGGAGAGGTGGCCGAAAGGGCCTCTAGCTGGCTTTGGACGCAGCGCAACAACGTAGGGGACGGGCCTCGGTGAGCTGGTCCGGGTGTCTAGTGGAAAAGAGTTTCTCATCCCTTTGAAAAGTCCATCGTGTCCGAATTGTCTGCCAGTGTTCCTCTGCCAACTGCTAATAAAAGTCCAACATGTGTCCGGTAAACCAAAATAAGCTTGTCGCTCGGTCGTCCAGGCATGCTGACTGTTCTAATTAAGCTGCCGCGGCGGCTTCTTATCTCACAGTACTTCCTGCGAAACCACCAAGTCGTCTTGTCTCTGGCCGAAATAATAACACCATCCGGTAATTCCGTGCAGCGGGGAACCAGCCCTGAGCTTCATGAACTCAGGTGGGCCCACCTCCGAATACGTCTAGGAATCGTGGGCCGAAACGTATGTCGACGAGGATAATTTCTACTGACGACTGGTAGATCCCCGCTGTACTTGCTCCCTGTGAGTTTATTCCTACAACACAACGTGCTAACCGCCCCTTTAAAGGCAAATTTTGAAGAATTTAAATATGGCATTATAGTCCATTGCAAAAGTCGTGCCAACTTTACAAATATGTAACTCGTTAACAATTCGGTGTAAACTCTTGAAATTTTGCATGCAACCTGTTAAAAATCATGGCCTTGTAAAAAAAATGTATAATGCAAACAAACATTTAGTTTTCTTTCTGCCTTCTTTGTGATAAATAGAGAGAAAAAAAAGGACACTGATTCAAAACAGTCAGTAAGCATGTTTACAGTAAATGGATTGAGGCGAAGTTGGCAAAACATCAAACCGAACACGTTTTAGAGTTAATCCGTGGGAGAAATTAAGGCGTGCTTATTTTGATAAAGGAAGTGGATACGTCATGTACTGCCATAATGCTTGTTTATTAGCTCCTACAGGGTACATTATTTGTGTCAATTATGGTACTTTTGTTTTTTAATAATAGTACATTATTTAAGTTCACAAATTAATAGTTCGATACAAATCAAAGA